AAATAAAATCAAATTAACAACTTCATATATTCTTCTTGTATCGCTTGGTTTATTAAATTTGTTGTAACGGAGAATCTCGGCTAGGCCGATTTTGTCCGTTTGGCTCTCGCAAATGTCCGTGCGCCGCGCCAAGCTGAGAGTGTGTGTGGTACGCACACTCATGCTTGGTTTTGTTTACGAGGTGCTGAACACGGGCTGAGCTGATAACTGGAGCAATGCAGATGGCGCAGAAGAAAGGAAAGAAAGAGAGATAGAGAGAGCGCTCGAATTGCGGATCGTCGCGGAAAATTCGAGAGAGTCTCTGCTAGGCAGTAAGGAGAGGAAGTCGCGCGCGCGGATTAACCGAAAGTTCATGGTTTTCCGAAATTGGCCCCACGACCTCGTCGCCGATTGTTCGTTTTCGGAGACACGCCCGGTGTGCGGACGAGTATTAGAGCGTGAGGCTGGGTCGTGCCCAGCCGTGTCCCGGCACGTGTGGGTAACCGGCGAAATTCGCGGGTGCGCGCGCGAGCAATTCGACGTGCTGCAGTACTGAGCAACGGAGAGGCGACGAAGACGACGACAACAGCAATTGACGAGCGAAACAACGGATTGAAGCAGCAGTATTGTGGAGCAAGCGAGAGGACGAGCAAGAAGACAAATAGCGACGACAACAAGCATCAGCGAGACGGTCAGCGGGGAACACACCAGTGACGTCACACTGCGGAGCGCTCTAGCCGTCAGAGAGGCTGAAGGTCGAGGTCGGTGCCGTGTTTTTCTCTTCTTTCTCTCTCTCTTGCATGTTTGGGCGCCAGCTTATGGATGATAGCACGGCAGACCTGTTGGCTACCCGTTGATAGGCCCGTTGATACCCGTTTAACGGCGGAAAGTGTTTGTCGGGCATTTATTGTAATATTTAGTTCTAACAAGGGAATCGGCAGGCTGACCAGCCACCGAGTCACCTTCATGTTCGCGTTTGTTATAGTGCCGCTCGTAGTGTATAAGCACGAGATCGCCGTCTTGTAACCTATTGTTGACGATTAAAGTATTAGTGTGTTAATCCGCTGTTGTGTTTATTCACCGGTGTATCACTCCTCATCCTAACTTCGAATCCGTGTGTGTAACGTAATTTTGCTCGACGCGTTAATCAGTCGTGGGAACGTCTTTTGCTTTCCCGAATCCCTGAATAAATAATTTTTGCGGGCGGCCGTGAGTAACTCAGACGGGAACGGTCGCAAATTCTCCGTTACAATGTTACCAGTTTTCTCAAAATTTTAAACAAAAGAACCCAAAAATCCACGAAAATTGTTAAATGTAATTATACAACCTATAAAAAATATATGAATTCCAAAAATACATAATTTTTTGGGTTATAGTAGCACAGTGAGTAATAACTCAGGCTTCTATGCAAGAGGTCGTAGGTTAGAGCCCCATGCAGGTAAAGATTTTCGCAAATAAAATTTTCATATGATTCTTACCTTGATTCCGGTGGTTCAGATTCCACCTTAAACTGTAGGTTCAGTTATGATGTGCTTAAAACTTTCTCCTACTGTAGTATTTCAAAAAATGATTGAGGATGCAGATCTACTTAGTCATGACTATAGAGAACCAAAACTAATACGTACAGGCACCTAGTGTACCTCAGCAGCGTTATACGTGTAAGAAGTTCTTGGAGTTGCACTAACAATAACATAGGCTTTTTCATTTAAAGTACTGAGGAGACATATATATAGTTGTTGATTTGATTTCATTTAATTTTACGGAGCATTGACTCTTAATATTAAAATTTTACTTTAGAACATAAATTATGTGCATATTTTCTATCATATGAGCGCTTTCATCATCGCAATAAGTGAGGTTTTATTAAGATTTTGCACAACAATCAATATCTACTGGATTTTATTGAATGATATATCAATAAACGTGTCAAAAAATTGCATTATCTCGACAATAGACCAGTAGCGGACCATGATAATTATACCATTCGACGTTTAATCATTACTACTTACGTATATTATATATGACAGATATTTCAATACGATAGCGTCAAATTTAAAACAATGGTAAAAATTAACAAGCAAACCTAATTTATAAAATAACCCAAGAAAAGTGTAATGTGACTTACATCGATAAAACATATGAACTGTTAAGAACTCGTATTAATGAATATAAAAAGAATAAAAATAAGGATGCGGTAATTAATATACACATGTATAGGGTATTCCATTTTAAATGACAGACCTGAATATCTCGAAAAGTTGACGTCATACAAAAAAATTGTTGAGACGAAAGTTGTTCAGGATAGTGGGAGTTATCTACGTATAATGTCAGTGTTGACCTTGAACTTTAATTTCAAGATCATTTGACGGTAAAAGTGATTATTTTAAATAGGAACATTATTTTGAAAACAGTGTTAAATATTTAACATATTTAATATCGGATTCAGAAATAGCGGAAAATTTTACGATCGAAGAGAGAATTAAGAAGGTCAAATACCAAGGTTAAATTAAGTTCGACATCCAAAAAAACATTTATCAATAAATTTCAGTGATTTCTAGTTATTTAGTTTCGAATTCTACTCTTGCATTCCGACCAGTTAATTTAATTTTACATTTGAAGTTATTTTTTTCTATTTCATTCGGTATGGGTTGATTTTCTTCTGTTTTCATCTAAATTTATATTATTAACATATTATTCGCATTTCAACTTTGGTAATTTTAATACTTCATGGTTTATTACGAAATTCAAAGATATTTTTTAATATTTAACATCTAATTTAGAGTGATATATATAAGTAAGTGTTCCTGAAAAATCGTAATTGAAAATTACAAAAGTTTTAGATTTTAGGGAAGTAGTGGAATGATAATGGTAGATTTCACCTTGACTAAAATTATTATTTATTTTCTTTCATTATAATTGTGCATGTAAATTACTTTCTAGAGTACTTTTAAATAAGATAAAGTTTCCAACAAAAGCTGCAAAGTATCAAAATAAGTCGGTTTCTATAAATGGAATGTGCTTTTATTATTACTGTATGTAATTTTCGTTCAATAATGAAGAAATTGTATGTGATTTTTCGCTGAGAAATGAATAATTTCTGTCTAAATTTTTTTTTATGCTTTCTTTAAATTCAAGATGATCTCTCTACTTTATTGTTTTCGTGATTATCAAGATAATTTATAACAATTAATTGAAAATATGGGATCGTTAGATTGCAAGAATTTTAGTTTGTCAACGAAAGATACCTTCAAATATAAGACGGCGTTAAGTGAATGTGCTTAAAAAAATGATGCGCAAGTATTAGCAGTATTGGATTACGTAAATATGAATTCGCATGCTAGTTTACAACAAACTGAGAGAGAATTAGGTATCTCTAAATTTATGAAAACAAATAGGACGAGATGGTTCTGTTAAATGATGCCCGCGATTTCCAGATTTGACAAGTCTAGATTATTTTTTATGGAAATACTTAAAAAATGTTATTAACACTTAACTACAATTACGAAAGAAAATATAAAAGAGCGCATAAGATTGGCTTCTCAAAATGATCCTAGAGAAGTTTTGTTGTCAACTGTAAGAAGTTTCCAACGTGAACTCAACTTATGCTTCGAAAATAATGAGTAACACTTTCACATCTATTGCGATAATACTTTTTTCATATATTTAATTTATTACTTTCAGTCAGTTTCGTTTCTATTAATTAATTCATTAATTTAAGTTCTGTACTTTTACTTTGTTCTTTATTATAAATTGTTACACATTCAAACAATAAAAAGCATTTCTTCTAGTACTATCAATTATGTTCATTATTGATTAGGTCTTTTAAGCTAAGGTCGTTAGTCTCAAGTCTTTTCTAATATTTTGCATACCAAAATCATAAAAAGCAATTAAAATTTTTTTTTCGGATGTCAAGCTTAATATGATTTTGGTATCATACCTTTTCAATATCTTTTTGATCCTAAAATTTCTTGCTCTTTTTGAATCTGGTGTTAACTATAGGAGTTCATATTTAAAAAAATCACTGACCTTCAAATAACCTTGAAATTGAAATTCAAGGTCAACACTGACACGTAGACGACCCCCAGTGTCTGAACAATTTTCCTCTAAACAATTTTCATCTTTCTAAACAATTTTTTCATGCAACATCAGCTTTTCAAGATATTCAGGTCCGTCATTTAAAATCGGATCACACTTTATAATCACTCTTACCAATTTGGCTGGGATTACGCACAAATCAATGACTTTGAATTTCGATGGAATTTCTTAAATAACTTAGGGGACGGTCCATTCTTGAGTTATGAAGTGGTCAAAAGAGGCCAGATCACAGCGGAAACAGGCAAGGCTTCAAGAAATTGAAAAATATGAGCAAGAAGAAGGTCTTCTGTATGATCCAGGCATCGCAGATTAAGTTTAGGTAAAAATTTTTCATAATTTTTAGATAAAAAAAAATTTAAACGCGTTTTTCTCGAAACAACGTTTTAAAAAACTAGCTCCATCGTATCTCGCTAACCAGTGCACCGATTCTTATGAAATTTAAACCACATATTCTACACATAAATTTTAACAAAGTGTATCAAAATCTTTTCTTAATTTTACTATTAATTTTTAGTGAAAAATGGCAAAAAAATGCTTATTTTTCACTTTTTTAATTCGTACACCATTTGTTTATTTATTGATAAAACTTAATATATTTGCTCTACTTTGTAGCTGAAGTCATACAGAATCTAAAACCGTTTGATTTTTTTGTTTCAGATAAGCCGTTCTCAAGTTCTGATGGAGCTACTAAAGCGTTTAAGTTTTGAGGTCTTTTTCACAATAACCGTTTTCGCAATAAAAAATTAAATAAAATGAATAAAAAATTGAATATCTATTCTTGTTTGATTTTCAAATGAAGTTCTCTAAAGGATAGCGAATCCACCAACGAATCGTCAAATGATGTCTAACTGGCTTCAATCATTGCGCCCGTAATCAAACGAAATGAAAATCCAAGAAATCAAATTATTTTCTTAAAATTTAAATACCTGCGCTTGATCCAGTTGCAATTGTAATTGTTGGTTAAGCTGCTGCAAATGATGGACCTGCTGTACACAATGCGGCCGTGTTTTTTCTAAAAATTTTTGAAAATCTGTTGAAGAAAGACCAGCCATTAACGCCATATGTTGTTGTTGTAATTTATTCATAACCATACCATGGACAGTCTTACGAACGCTTTTATTATCTTTTTTTGAAACAGCTTTAACTTTTGGACGATCATTAATAGCAGTACTCTGACTAACGTTTAAGCTGGAAATAATCGGTTGTGAAGTACCGCAAATTTCTTCAGTCGAAGCAAGAGAATCCGAATTAAAGGTACTTTCCAAATTTGACATGCACGGTGAGTTGGGGATAATACTTGAAATCGATCCAGTTGAAGCTGGTACAGTAATTAGTGAAATCGACGACGTATTTAAAAAATCATTTGTGGTAATAGGAAAATTCTCAAATGATGTCAATGGCAGTGGCAATTGTGTTTCTTGTAAATTTCGTACTTCTTTCAGCATTCGTTGTTTTTCCAGTTTTATTCCTTCTTTAAATCCTTCTATATAATATTTGTTGGCTTGTTGAAATCCCTTATAAAAAGACAATGCAGAAGTAATACTACTTGCATTTTGATAATTTGCGGTTTCGACAATAGATGGTTTGATTATCTCCATAGAATCTGAACCTGAAAAAAATTATTATATTAAAATTGCAAATATTTATTCACCTGGTATAAAATTAATGATATAAATACATAAATATTGTGACTTTTATATCTTTTCACGGAGCCAAGAATGTAATTAGTATCAAGAATAATTTATTCTTTGAGAATACAATAACACATATATGTACACTCTTGTAGAGAAAAAATGTAATTTATATATTTTATTTTTATAATTGATTGAGTTTATATAGGTGTTGGTCAGATGATTTTGACGGTGATTTTTTGTATAATAGTAGATATAAAAAAAGTCCATTAGCTAGTTCACTGTTTTCTAAAATGTATGTATATCCCAACCTTCCTATATACTATATATATAGAGATAAGATTTGTAACTTCTGAACCGTACCTCTTTTTGCCTACTTTGCACTTTTTTAGCCCTTTTTATTCCCTTCGTTGCCTATTTCTGATCCGTTTTATCGCTAATAATTTTTATAATCATGTTTTCCTTTTATATTTTTATTTTCAATAAAAATTCCTAAAAATTGGAACGAAACGTAACATCGTTCATGTTTCATTGTACTTTTCTAAAAATAAAGTGAATTTGTTATTAATGATAATAATTTATTTATATAAATAATATTGTTTCATATTATTACCTTTACGAATAATGTTACCATCGGTCGGAAACTTATTTCCTTAACCCTTTAACGCTCAAATGGACAAAATTTCAACGTCAACTTCAAGCTCGTGCCTTTCAATTATAACCCATGTGAAAAAAATATTGAGATACATATTCTTGTGTAAAAAAATCTCATTTTTCGAATGGCATCGTTAAATTTATTAAAAAATGAACGGAAACAGTTTATTTTTCACAATAAACAAAAAAAATGCAAATTTTCATAATTTTTTTCTTTTGAGGAATTTTTTCAACTATGTTCTCGGTACTCCAATATATCTTAACCCATCAGGATACGAGACGCGAAGGTTGGACTTCAAAAATATATCTTTAGATACTTCGATTTTGACTGTTAATGACTGTTAATCGATCCATAATGGCGCCCGAATACCGGAAATTATTGCAAAATCACAGAAATTTGCACTTTTGAAGTCGAATCTAAGTTTTAGCAGGCAAAGTGACTTTTCTGAGTTTTATGTCAAAAGATTGGATGCATATTAGCACCGGTGGTTAGGATGGCGTCGTTATGCGGCACTTGGGTAATGTCGGTGCCCTCCATTAGTGTATCACCTGGGCCATAATATGGTTTGAGATCTTTAGTGTGCACTAACTTCTCAATCTCTTCCTGCTGTTTAGCAAGCTAGTAGGAGTTAGCTCCGAGTAACTTAACGATCACGTAGGGGTCTACAAATTTGGGTGCTAGCTTCGCGGATATACCCTGCGCCGTGCTGGACAAGATTCAGTTCTTTTTTCAGACCCAATCTCCTTCCTAGATTTCAGAGGCTCTTCGTTTAGCGTTAAAGTATCTCGCCTGGCGTAACGACTCATCTGAGGCGATTTCTTGGGCCCTTTGTATGGTAAATCTATTGTTCCGCATATGTTCGTCTCGTTGTCTCAACTTACGTAGGCCCTCATCTTTGATTACGAGCTTATCCCTCTCCTTTCGGATGGTTTCGGGCACTTGAGGTCGCCTACCATACTTAAACATAGCAGGGCTGGTCCCCATGGAGCTATGGATAATAGTGTTCAGCGCAAATGCGAATTCAGGCAAGAATCGATCCCATTCTTTGTGATTCACCCGGAGATATGACGAGATCATTGTCTTTAACGTACTGTTAACACTTTCCTTAGAGTTGGCCTGTGGGGAGTAAGTCGATGTAAACATCCGGTTCACCCCCAGCGTCTTCAAGTAACCGTTTACTAACTGGTTCTTGAATTCTGTACCATTGTCGAACAGGAAGTACCAAAGCGCATGATCACTCGCTCCCTGAGTTCTTTCACAAACGTCTTACCATTTGCTCTACATATGGGAACACATTCTACCCATCGTGTGAGCAAATCGATGAATACCAGCACATATTTGTGTCCTCAAGGGCTACGAGGAAATGGCCCGGCGATATCGCCAGCTACTATCTGTCAAGGCACGGACAATGCCCGGTCTTTTATCAACCCGCGTGGTAGCTACTGATCGATCTTGCACTGTTAGCATATTTGGCACATTCTAACATACCCTTTGACGTCATTATACATGCCTGGCTGTAACAAAATTCTCTCCTTTGTTACCAATTCTTTGCGGGGTAAGTGAGGCACTTTCGCTCAAGGCAATTGAGGGAGAAGAACGAGGAGAGGTTGATAAATAAATTATATAAAGACAGAAATCAAATCTCACTTACAACCTATTATTATTAATCATTGTTCAAACTAAACATACGCGCGCATAACATCTAATTATTAACTAATTACTAACTAACCAATTACATAATAGAATAATAAACTACTCATAGTATTCACAAATGAATATTTCGCATTTCGTCTTAATATCCAATCGCGCACTTAACCTATTACAAACTTACTTAAATTACGCGAACCTATACCGGATGAACTGCCCGGCACGTGGGCGCCTGGACAATTCGTCGGTCGCAACTTACGTTACTACAAATTAAGCTTAAGCGCGAACCTTTAGATAGCCGACACGTGGATGCCTGACTATCCTATTCAACGCGCACCGGTCGTCGCATCACCAGAGAGAGAGAGAGAGTGTAGAGAGAAGGAAGAAAAGAAGGCTTGACCTTTGTTCATCGCCCCTAGCAACGTCGTGGATCCCGGGCGATGTGCTGCCGCAGGAAGTACCGGTCGTAGTCGCTGGTCAGATCGTTGCTAGCTGCTGGCTGCTATCGCTGACCAGGTATCCACAGGCGACGTTGACTCTCCTTGCAGGGGTGGGCTGGCTGCGGTCACAGACAAAGCTGTTGCCGCTAGGGTTGATCTTCCTTCCAGCTATTCCAAACTGCACTCTCTACACTCTAACAGGACTGGGCTTGGACTCTTGCACTCTAGTAGGACTAGGCTTCGACTCCTACACGCACTTATTCTTGCGCTCGTCTAGCAGCCGCTCAGCGGCGCTCGCTCCTCTCCCTACCTTGACCTATTAGTTAGGCGGCACGCGACGCGCCGCTTATCGGTCACGCGTTGCGCGCCTGCCTATCCCTGCTTGAGCCTAATACTCTCTCTCTCTCTCCTTCTCTTTTTCTCACTCTCTCTCCGCGCTCCTCAACTTTTTCTTGCGCTCAACTGCGCTGGCCCGTCCTTGGCGCTGAAAAAGAAAGACCAAGTGTTAGGCGCATACTTTAATGCGCCTAACGTTGGCCAACACGCCTTGCCGAGTGGAGGAGGGAGAACGCAGACGAGAGACTGGCACACGGCCTGCTCTCGTCACATGGCCAATAGTAATACCAGGCGATACGGGCAAATGTTTTTTCTCGGTCGAAGTGATTTTCGAACAGAACCCACAATAGAGCGTATCTTTTCGAGATCACGTCTGATTCCGTTTCGGTTAATCATAAATCTCAGATGCATAGTTTTTAACTTGCAGAAGACACTCTTATCTCGATTGATCGAGAGTTTAGTTTGGTTTAATCTGTCCAACGCGGTTCGTAGGTACCGCAAATGGTTCTCAAATCTTGACGATACTGCAATAATATCGGCCAAGTAGGCGAAGGTGAAATCGCCGACCACACTATCTATCAATCGCTGGAAGGTGGCACCTGCGTACAAGAGGTCAAAAGGCATCTGCACAAACTGAAAATGCCCTAGCCCTGGTTCGGTAGAGGCGGTGATATCTCAAGATTCGAGTTTAAGCCGCATTTGGTAATACGCGCTACTAAGGTCGACGGTAGATATATAATGCGTATTTCGCAAGGATCTCAACATATCTTGCATAAACGGTAAAGGATACGCATTTGGCTCGGTGACTTCATTGACCTTTCGAAAGTCGATACAAAAGCGAAACGAGACATCTTTCTTACGTATCAGTACTACTGGGCTTGACCAGCCACTATAAACCGGCTCGATGACTCCCTAGGCCAATATTTCTCTTATCATTTTATGTATCTCTTGCTCTATCTTATGCGATACTGGGTAGTATTGCTGTTTGATCGGCTTAGTATCACCAACACGAATCTCGTGTTCGATTCCTGCAGCACATCCGACACCCACGGATGCCTGAGATAAAGCCTCGTCGATAGTTTTCTTTAACATTGCCGGCTGTGCTGCTGTTACTTTGACTAATGCTATGGTTGTCAAACTTGGGCCAGTTTCCAAGCTAGCCACTTCCAATTTCATTCTGGTTTGCGACTTTTTAAACAGCAGTGTATCGTCGTCAGGATCTAGGATCGTTCTAAACTGCCTGATGAAATTTACTCCTGTAATGCATTCATCGACCGTATAGCCAAAGGTATTGTCATGTCGCCCACAGTGAATGGCAACATTACATGGACGACAATCGGCAAGTTTCGGCCGTCTGGCAAACCGGCCGTACCGGTGTGGGTAATATTCAGTCTTACATTTAATGCTAAAGCTGTTTGTAGAGCTGTGGCTGAGCCCAGCGGATCATAGAGAGCTCTAATTTTGAAATCTTCTATTTGCATCGGTAGCTATCAACGCGTTTCTTGCTCTGGAGAGAACTCTAAAACCAATTTTGGAGTTCTGTTGATTTGCTCGAGGCATACAATACGCTAGCTATCCCAACCTCGTAGGGTAATTTACCGGGAACATCGAGTTGGATCAACTCGCTCCTTACCATGGAAGATCCTTCGGGAATCCTTGTCGACAGGTTATCTACCGTTACCAATGCCTCCCAGAGCGTGGGTATTTTTTTCTCCACCACCTCGGCCAAATGATGGAATAAATGAATTCCTGGGTTTTACTGTCACCGAACTCTCCCCTCTCCACGGTCAGATTATTACTGTGCGCATTGCAGGTGTTACTCGGGCGATCCTTACTCTCGTCACTCAACATGTTTGATGCAACCAGCGCTTTGTGTTGCAACGAGGACGCATGAGTTACG